ATGTATATCCATTAATGAAATAAACGATATTTTTTACAAATAATTCGTTTAAGTGATTGGCAGATTAATTTGATTATGAAAGAATGAAATGTTAAAAAGAAAATTTAAAAAATCACGCATGTTGTACTGTTGTATTTTTTTTTCAATTAAAAACTTGAAAATAAAGATAGTTTTACGATTGTTAGCATTTTAATATCGCCAGATTTAAATACAAGTTAAAGAATTCCGGTAAAGTAAATTAAACAGATGTGCAATTATTATTAATTGGGAAATGAAACATTTAATTTTTAAGACTAAAAGTACTATTCTTTTAACTTCATATTTTAATTTTATGCAAATTGCATAGAACGTAATCGAAAATTGTTCCACTGTAATATTGTATACAATTCCGGAATTGACAAAGATTGAATGTTTATTTTCAATTAATTTAAACAATTTAATTATTGTTTCTCTATTGTCATCGGATATTTTATCTTGGTGTATTAAACACGCTATACTCTTTCTGTTAATCCATTCAAAATGACAACATACACACCTGTGTACGCTTGAATTCACACCTGTGTACGCCTGAGGATAAATTGCTGCAAGGTAAAGTTCAAACGAATTCTCCTCAAATCGAGAAATAAACAATGACTTTACAAAATAATATACACGTTTTGTTCACATATATTTTGCATTGAAATGGTTATCAAAGTTATTACGGTAAATAAAAACGTAAAATATTTCAGTTCAATATCAGTAAAAATGTTCAATAGATAGTTTATGAAACAATCTCAACAACAATTTATGAAATTTAGATTTTTTTGTCAAAAGAGAAGCACAATTACCCCAAAGCGAATTGCGAGAAGTGGTTTCGTATTTCGTTATAGAAAAAAATTACTAGTAGTTTATGTAAAGTAACGACTCTCGTACGGTGTCGCGTTAATATCTTTTTAATAAATTGGTGCAATTGGATGCAACAAATAATGACCATAAAATGTCAGGTTTGCGAGATCAGACAGTAACCTAACCAGTAAACAATTGAAAATCTAGGGATCAATATTTAACATTCGTCAGCAATGAGCAATTTTCATAAATAAAACATGATTTAGTCGAATATGTAACAGTGGTTTGATTCCGCCAGTGTAATTTATCCGGAGGAAGAAAATCCCCAGTGATTTTTATCCACCAACAAAAATTCACTAGATTTTTCTATCCGGGTCCAGTGTAAAACATCCACCAGTCATTGTAAGATTCTAAAAAGGGTTTTTTGAAGGGGAAACATGTATAAAATGTGGCTTTATAGTTTTTAGTGTATTTGAAACTTGCATAGTTGATTTATGTAAAAAGTGGAGAGTTTTCATCCAAGGAATGTTCACACTAGTGTTTTTAAACAAGGAATGATTACACTAGTGATTTTGTACCGGAATGATTGCACTAGTTATTTTATAACGGGATTAATTGCACTAGTGCTTTAGATCCATACATTGATGAAGTGATTAGTACTCATTTTCAACACACGATAACACAATAATGCTTATTAACGAATAAGATTTAAATAATTTTTCTATGCAAATCTATAAAATCATATGCTTTTAAATTGTCACTAATTGTAATATTTATATTAATTGGAATGCTGAAGTTTTTCTGTGTATTTACTTTTCGGTCGACTTGGATATAAAATCATATCTTCTATGTCAATATCAAAGGATGCTTCTATAATTGAAACTTTATGTAAGAACAAATCTGCTCTTTAAGTTTGGTTTATATCAAGTTCAATGTCCTGGTCATTGATAAAGTATTTTGAGTTATAAAAACATCCTCCTCATCATCATCAATATTATTTACTAGATTGACTCAGATTAATTAAACTGGTTCCTTGAAAATCATTTTAATTTTAACCCATTTATTTATGTAAACAATAAACCGGTCTAATATAAACAAAACAACGATATCAAGTTTGACGCTTTCACACTATTTACATCCAATATTCTCTAGTGAAAAACAGTTACCCGGAATAAATACACGGCGGAATGAAAGTACGCTTACAAATACTTTGCGAGTAAAGAAAAAGAGACTACCATAGATTTGTTATTAACCCCAAATGCTTGATGGGTACAAATCAGTATTCAAGAGTTACCTTTTTTGCATTGAACCACATTACAACAGAAATTGGAAAATAGGGCGTGGAAGTATTTCTAAGACATTGTTGTTTTCCTGTTCTATGTAGCTTTCTTATTGGCAAACATGGTGATAGATTTTATAGATGCTGTCAGGCACCGACCATTGAAAACAATCGATCTGTTTAAAATAAGAAATGAAAATAACTGTTTGGTGTTGTTTTTTTTTTTGGCAAATAAGAAAAATGACCGTTTGATTTAAAATTGTTTAAAATTATTTTGAAATAGATTTATGAAAATAATTTACATGTGAAAAGGCTAGACTTTGTGGCGTAGGGATGTGATTGAGTGGTTTTGTTTACAATTATTTCCCATTATTTCGGCAGTGAAAATCTGCAATAATTATTTGTTCATCATGTTGTGTGATTTACACATTATAACAAAACTAAGAATATGACGGATGAATTTAGAGTTATCTGTTTAATGTCCAGTGGAAACTATTATATGTATTATTAGGAGGACATTTAAAATGTTATAAATATGAACAAGGACATCCTTAATTGTTATGCAAACATGTGTATCACGGCACAAGCGATGGCCTATAGACCGTGTGTATCATATGTATATTTAGGGTGGGGTTGCTCCGAATAAAGGAGGTATAGATACAGGAAAATAAAGAAAAAATATAGAATTAGAATAGAGTATAACGGGAAAAATAAAGAACAGAGGAAAATGGTATAAAAAAATTAAAGAATAGAGGGTCTAGTCTTTTTGCCGGACAATTGTTGATGATAGTTTAAAGTCAAGTGCATTTATAGTTAAAATAATACACAATCGTATGTACATTGGTAGGGATTTATGTTTAAGGTTGACGAGGCACATAACGAGTAATTGTTTTTATTTGAAATTTCTCGAATGTTTGTTTTTTCTCTCGACTGATTTGATAGATGAATAAACAAAATCTATAATCTAAATAAAATGGTTTAATTACGATATATGGATACAACTGCTATTCAGTCGATTTTAAAATACATGCGATAAAAGAGAATACATAAAAATATTTAACAAACCTTTTGGACAAAAGGTCAACCTTAAGACCCCGAATATACTTTTGTAAGAACATTAGATTAATTCCGAATTCCATCTTAAATCAATTGTTCATTTAGGTAAAAAAAAAAAATGTTAATACCTTAGACTATTTTCAAAAATTGTTGACTGTATACCCTGCAGACTGCAGTTTACTCGCACATTCACCAAGTACGTATTTCTACGGCTAACTAAATTCATAATCGTATCTTTTAATTTGTTTAAATTTATTTCAGTATTTATTTTTCAAACTTTTTATGTAAATAATTTTGGATCAACATCGAGTCAGATCAAATTATAATTTATTAAATTATTAATTAAAAACTGAAACATGCATCCAATCTAAATTTTACGCCTATTATCACCTATATAAAAAGATATAACAGAACACCATTCATGTTTTGTATTTAAAAAAAAAACATATACGCTAAACGAAACTATGCACGTCAAGAAACGATGTACGCTAAACGATACGATATACGCTAAACGAAACGATGTACGCTAATACGCTAAACGATACGGTATACGCTTAATGAAACGATGTACGCAAAACCATACGATGTACGATAAAAGGGCGCTTATGTTATCGTTTATGGTATGGTTTATGGTATATGGTTTCGTTCGTACATCATTCGTTCAGCGTCCGTACAACGTTCGGTCAGCGTTTCGTTTGCATTCGTACACCGTTCGGGAAGCGTACGTACATCGTTCGGGCATCGTCCGTACATGATTCGGGCATCGTTCGTATTGTTAACTTTTACGTTACACGGACTGTAGATGAGTCTCGGACGTAGTATTAACGATGACAGGAAGCATTATCAGGACCAAAGTCGTGTGACAGTGAAATGGCGGTCCATCATCTAACACCTAGGATACAGCCCTCGGACGCCACTCGGCATACCACTCCCCCATCCATAATGGGTTTTGGAGTGTATGTTGACGCGGGAATTTGCCCCTACGCGGATTATAGCCTAACGTAGTCTGTACAGCGTTGGATTGGTTTCTGTCATCGAAAGTAGTAAGTCGTTGATCCATCTAACTGTAAACCCTCATCGAAGATAGCGGGTAAAGGAGAGCTGACCCAGCACGTCCGTTCAGTTGTAATGACTGAGACGTGACTGAATGAATTGTAATGTAATGATTTCGAGCTCCAACACGTGGGCATCGCTTATAAATAGGTTTATGACACTTTGGGTGTTTCCGTTCTTACTCGGATGTGTAATTAGGACAGAGTCTCCCTCGGCGACCGAATCGATCTCAACTAATCAACACCCACTTACAGAAAAGGCTGTTACATTTTATGTGTAATTATCGTCTTTCGTCCTCTCTCCTTCTCATATAACCTGCTTGTTTAGACGTACTAATCAAATAATTATTTTGATTTTATGACAAGACGTTAGGACATGATTAAAAAGAAAATTTGTCTCTTTACCGTATTCTCTATGACAAAGCAAATCAGTTAAAAACGTTTTAAACTGAATCTAGTTTTTTACACATTTAATGTTTGTTAACTTTTACTATTTCTCCTTTGAAATCAGAGGTACATAATTCTGTTCTTTTTTCATATAGATTATATGATATCTTATTGCAAAATATACTCAGTATATAAATGATCTTCAGAGAAAACCACAAATTTTCAATAGATCAGGCGTTATCATTTCAACTCTGATATGACAAAATACGCTTTAAATATGTTAACCATATACAAAAATGAATATTGTGTAATATGATATTCCTATGATATATTTTTATGAAGTTTATTTGCAACAGATTGTACACGAAACGTACAAGTTTACTACTGTACAATAATTGGTATTAAAACGAGGAAAAGCAAACACAAACTTTCTTTTTCCGTAAGTTTAACCATGCTTATATATATTTCCTTCTTTCTCTCAGAGAAATAATTTTTAATACAAATAGTATGTTTACACAAATATAAACTTTTGTTGTGTGCTGATTTGGATGTTATTCAGTATCAAGGATTTATCTACTAATTTATCCATCCTTTCATAATTATAGACAAAGAGAAAACAAGATAAACATGTAATCTTCGGAAACCCAGCATGTGTATGAAGTGCCCTTTACAAGAATTTGATGATAAGAAACGCGTTCTTTCTCACGAGCATTTACTTGTAGAAGTGATACAAGAACTCTCATCCTTGGACTGAAAAGACACCCTCCAGTAAAACTAAAGAGGATAACAAAATTAGTTGTTAATTTAACTGTAAATCGAGCGAAGTGTTGGGGAACTATAGTTCTCACTGCATATTCATGGAGAGAAAATGTTGATGAAACTTATGCAGCTTTTGTTTTGGTTTATTCAAATAAAAATTGGCAAACAGTATTTGATTAGATATACGTTTGTAACAGTGCTACATCTTGCTCGCACCATTTTAGTGTCGAATTATGCGGCCGAGACACTCATTTCAGCGCTACACTCGGAGCCATTATAACATTATATCAATTTGTTGTGATTCAGAAGACCCAATGCTTGCCGTTTTGAAGTAGTAAGCAAGCTTGAAGAAATGATACGGGTGGGAATTGAAATCGAAATGAATATTTTATTTAAATCCAGTTATAAATTTTGAAAATTGGATATTGATCGATATACATTCAAATATTCACTCATGTTGGGATCTACGGAAAATTTCCATTTTCTCGCAATTCCGCTGATTATTGTTATTTTTTTGTATGCTTATAATTGTGTGTGATGTTTATTTAATGTAATCGTGTCGCAAAGGATATTTAGATATATTTTTATCTAATTTGCTCCGTTCTATTATCTATTTATCTGATAATTAAGTTTCACTATGTTTATGATCAAAGCATTGTGCCAATTCGTATATTTTGATTTCTCTCTGAAGTACCTCTACCCTGTAATTCTTTTCGGCCATAAGGAATCATTTGACAAAACATCATCTCCCTTCTTTTTTCATTTGATCTTTCTCCTTCTTAGTTAGTTTTGCATTATCTTTCGGTAAAAAAAGAGGTAGAACATACAAAGGGGAAATTAAAAACTGTATATCGAAAAAAAACCAGACAGTGTCATAACAAAAAACAAAACAAAATAAGACAAACAATTGTCTACAAAACACTACACGGAAAACACACAAAATTGAACAATACAAATCCCAAAGAATATTCGGGGAGAACGTAGGTGCTCCGGAAGGGTCAGATTCATTGATCCACTGGTGGCACCGTCGTGTTGCTCGTGGCAAGTTAGTCGCATTCACAATCGAATAAAAACAGGATGGGATTGTGACTGCGACAAGTAGAACATATCTTTGGTCATATGTGAAACTGAAATTCAATACCACTCGGACAAATCACAAATACGTTTGCCAAATTTTCGGAGTGATGACGTCAGCTTTACTATTTGGAATAACATTAACATTACGGTTGTATTGCACCAGTTGTGAGCCCATATTCCATGTGAAGCCCGATAACAATTATATTATATACTGGAGTATCCTTATTTGGGATCATACCCCCTGTTTAGGTCACTAATCAAATTGCAGGATTAACTTGGATACTTCACTCCAGTATAATATATATTCTTATACGTAGGAGCTTCTGAAAGTCGCTACACAGAAATGGAAAGTTCACGATGGGAAATTGAAATCTCCTCTGTTGTCGTAGAGGCAATTTCTAGATATGCATAAAGGTACGAAAAGCAAAGTTAATTGTATCTGTGGTATCCTTTATTTCGAGTTCAGTATAGATGCTATCAACATATAGTCAGCAAACCTTCTATTTATCAATGAAAGGACATCCTTCATATAGCGGAATGTAATGTCAAAGAATAATGCGAGTTTCTTTTCAATCTTCTTAATTACTGTATGAAGTCTGTTGCATATACGAGTCGGATAGAAGAGCTGGTTCCTTTATAGGAATATAATAGGAATTATAAGTGTTCGTTAAAAACACATCCTCCAAACGAAGCAAATATGTTGTCAGTCAAACAGTCAATAATATTGATGATGTCATTTTCATAGACATTTTAGTTTGAATCAAAGTGTTGTTGTTCTTTTAGTTTTTTTTTTTTTTTCATTTTTTTTTTCACAGAATATAATGTATCTCTTTCTAAAAGATATTTGTATCTACTTTGGCCATTATTTTCATTAGACTATTTCTTGCAATAGTTCTTAAGTTTAGAGGAGTATATATGTAAAAGGTAGATAAGTCAATTTTTTTTATGCTATTGAAAGATACCAAAAGGACATGCAAAACTCATCAGTCGAAAAAAAACTGACAGCGTCACGGCAACAAACAAAAAGACGAAAAGATCCACAAAACACTACAAAGAAAACAAAAGCCGAGCAACACGAATCGCACCAAAAACCGGGGGTAAGCTCAGGTGCTGCAAATATATAAGTAGTCCGTACTCTAAATATCGTGTTGCTCGTGGTTAGTACAAATTCTTTAGTAGTAAGAATTGTTTAGCCTCCACATCTGATTCACGACCCTAGAGCAAGTATAGTTTCACAGTGAATCTGAGGACCGGCCCTGATTACTGATAAAATAGATGGTAATAGTTCGAAAAAAAAATCGTGGAGCATTTGGCAAATCGAGCAATAAAATATTGTTTGGAAGGACATGTAGTGTTAGTATGCAGAAAATCCATTTCTTCGTCTTTGGTTGAAATTTCAAACGAACATAGACCAGTCCTTTAATTTATTGTTCAGGCTTCCTCTTTGTAAGTTCTTGTGAATTGTCAATATACCCATATCTTTCTTTTAATCAAGCTGTTTATGTAATATGATTCATAAACTTTGTCTGCAGGGTCAACAACATACTTATCCTGGAGGTAGAATAGGTGCTTAAGCAGCATTCGAATCTTTGAAGATTTGTGTAGCATTATAAGCTTACAATATGTTTCGTTTAACTGGCTCATTTTTATTTCTGTCGTTAAAAGGCTAACAGATAATAAAATTATCAATAGTAATAACTTCATGCAGATCAATTATCTCTAAATATTTCATAATTTTAATATGCTTCCTTAAGTTGTATTCCAGTACTGTTTTGTGATCGCAGCTTTTAAACATTTAAACCTAACATCGTTAACAGAACTTTTAGTATTTTCAAAATTACTCACAAAAAAGGTCATAATTTACCGTAAATAGCGTTTTGATAATGTATATGCTGGCAAAGTATGCTAGACAGTTACTACTAATTTACTCGAATAAGATACTATATCTGTAATTCAATTTGTATATCTTAAGGATATTTTATGATATATTATATATGTTACAGGCATTTTCTAAATTTAGGCATTTTGTAAAATGACTGAATTTTCAGGCAATTTTTAAAATGCCTAACTTTAATAGGCATTATATAAAATGACTAAAAATACCTAGTCATTTTGTAAAATGACTGAAATTTTGAAGCAAAATTCAACAAATTGCCTGTTCACTTTCAATTAATTTGTTAAAAAAAGAAGAATTATTATTGAGATGCATATGACCATAAACACCATATCTTGCTAATAACTAATGGTTCGGTAAAAATTGAGTTTATTCTTAAAAAAAAGCTAAGAAAGTTTGTATTCTTTTTTAGAGAAACTACGTTAAGTATGTACTCACTCTGTATTTCAGATAGTAATTTTATGATCTTTTTGTCATGATATCAGAAGGACAAATTGTTCTTACTAAAGAACAAAATTTTGAAAAAGAACTTTTAGAATATCTAGATCCAAAAACAGTAACGTGCAATATGAAGCAGAGAAAAAGAAGCATGTTCTTTTTTTTATTTAATGATTGTTTTTTTTTTTTTTTGGCATTCAACAGCAAATATTTCACATAAAAATAAGAAGATGTGGTATGATTGCCAATGAGACTACTCTCTCCCTTATAAGCAGAAAGATGTCAGTCAACCTACTCATGCTTATGTGACTTTGAATATAATGGGAACACGTGCAAAATAAGATATTCATGTATGTGTATTTTGCAAAACCCAATGTTGGTCGAACGTTAAGTGATTTATCATAAAACATATTGACAAAGCTGAATGTGTGATTGTTCCCCGTTTCGCCAAATTGGTTGTAGCGCTAAGACCAGATTTTACGCCAAAAAATGTATTTGCAAACAATCAGAACAAAAGTTTAACAGATCCTGTCATCCAAACATTATATGAAATAACAAATAATTGTCAAGTTCGGTGTTTGTTGGAATTTTGAATAATTCAGTAGAATTTGTCTTAAATATTAAAACTTAAAATGGAAGCTTTAAAATTCAGTAATTATCATTTATAAAACTGATATGTTGTTCGATACTTTCAATTGCCAAGTTTTTGTGAATATTTCATACTATTAAATAATTTCAGGCATTTTGTAAAATGACTTTCAATTTTTCCAGGGATTTTGTAAAATGCCTGAAAAAATTAGTCAATATATAAAATGCCTGAATCTAACAGGCATTTTAGAAAATGCCTAAAATTTTCAGGCATTTTGTAGTAAATTTAGAAAATGCCTGTAACATATATATATATATATATATATATTTATTACATCGGTGATCCGTTTATTTGGCAATCGCCAATGGCAGTCAGCAGGGTTTAAGAACATCAGTTGTTCGACCTGCTAGTCAAATGCGTTTCGTTAAAATATACTTTTTCACTCATTTGGTCTTTTGGAAAATGTTGTTTGTGCTGTATTTAGACCCCTCTACCAAGAAATTTGTTTTGCATGCACACGTATAAAAATTGCGGTTTTTATCCAACGCAATCATAGGTTTGAACGTTGTTTTCAATTTAGACTTGTTTATATTTTTTCGTTTGGGCTTGTATTATATTTGCCTTCGGGTTTATATGATCCGTTCATCCTATTTTGACTCTTTCAAAATTTAACAGTCTATCC